AAAAAAAAAAAAAAAAAAGTTTTTTTAGTAGCTTTATAAAATTCAGTTTTTCCTTATAATATTTTAGAAAGTGGGCTGCGATACTTTTCATCATGTCATTGTATAATGCCTTAAAACAAATACAAACTACAATTTATGTTGGAACATCAACTAGATTTGTTAGCAATTAAAGCTCGCTTGCTGGGCACTTGGGTTGTGTCCATATCTTTGCAATTGTGAAATGTGCTGCTATAAACATTCAAGTATCATAAGGATGGAAAAACAAACACCACACATACTCACTATTAAATTGGAATTAGTCAACACTTATATACACACATGAAAATAAGACTTATCAGAAATCAAGGAGGTGGGTGAAGGAAGGGGATAGGTGAATTCACACCTAACAGGTACAATGCACACTATCTAGGTGATGGGCACTCTTACAACTTTGACTCAAACTGTACAAAAGCAATTTATGTAAGCAAAATGTTTGTACCACTGTAATATTCTGAAAAAAATTTTAAAACCTTATTTATTTATTTACGAGACAGGGTCTCATTATGTTGCCCAGGCTGGTGTTAAACTCTTGGGCTCAAACAATTTTCCTGCCTCTGCCTCCTGAGTACTTGGTCTCCAGTTCCACATCACTGCATCTGGCTTTATTATTTTAATGCACATTTTAGAATGTGAGAAATCTGTTTGTATGTTCAAGCTGGAGTGCTTGGGTTTAAAGTTAAAGAGTAAGTGTGTTAAGTGGAAGCCAAGATGATAAGTCTATCTCTATATAGACATTTTAAATTTTTTATCATCATTTGCATAGATATGCAGAAAAAAGCACTTGACTAAGAGATTTCCTGAGACCCCACATCTGTAACCACCTACCAGTCACTTAACACTATGACCTCAGCTGTAAAAGGCATAAGATGATTTCTAAAACACTTTTTAGCTTTAAATGTCAATTATTTTGATCAGAGTTTATTCACATCAAAATAGTGTAAAAAATATTTGTTTAAAATGTAGACAGGTTGGCTCGGCGCCTGTGGCTCAAGCGGCTAAAGCACCAGCCACATACACCTAAGGTGGCGGGTTCGAATCCCCAGCCCGGGCCCGCCAAACAAC